TGTTCTCTATTTTTGTGGTCAGTTAGAAAAATCTGCGCATTAAAGTCATTGTTTAGATGGAGAAAAAAATGGATGGAAGATCGAAATGAAAAGGTGGTGGTCGAAATTATGGAAATTCAAGGAATTACGGGATTAGATACTTATCTACACGTGGTCGTTCATAGCGATCTTCCTCTCCCAATGACCTCCTGCATGGCGCAAAGGCATTTTGTAAAATGCTTGGTGCCTAGCACCTTGATTGCAGGATACGTTCTATGTGGTTCAATTTGATCGGTTGCACACCTTTAGAAAAGGGGATGGAGGACACACAGAGGCTAGCAGTTTTATTGCTCGTACGTACAGTGTCGGTGTGAGGACAATGTTGGCTATTGCGTCAAAAGGGCGAGACAAGGGTTTCACGATGGTAGAGTAGAGGAGGGAGGGAGTGTTGAGGTTCTTTTTTTTTCTCTGGAAAATATGCACAGCCCCTTAAAATGGCCACGCCATGTATAAGAAGAGAAGAGAAAAGGATTGAAAGTGAAAGAAGGTGGAAGTTTTTGGTTGTCATTGGTAGGACAACTATCACAATAGTTTGGAATCATCATCAGTACCACTACCGAGGACACCTTCAAATAAAATAAATCGTCTACTGATTTATAGCAAGTAGAGTGATTGAGTCACCAGAGCCAGCCTGGCGTCGGAGAGAAAGGTAGTGGCGATAGTGGATTGAATGTACAAATTGGAAGGATACAATAATATCCTAGGAGCTGTCGCCTTTTGTCATGGCAAGCAGGTCCTTGTATATCCTCGAGTTGAGAAATCGAGGATAGGAGTCTCGCTGCATCAGGGTGTAGATCTGCAATTGGGCTTCGTCAAAGGTGTGCGGTGTGGGCTGGGTCATGTTCGTGTTGATCATTTCACGAACTCGCGAATCCAGACTCACCTACAATACCCATCAGTACGCTTTCCAGTCGATCAAGAAACATCTTGGTCGGTAAAAACAAAGCAGAGTGAACAAACCTCTTTCGGTGAGAGAATGGAGATGTAGTCTTCGTAGATGAGTCGTGCCTTTTCCTCCACCGCCTCGGGTTTGGTCTCCTGCTTGAGCTCTTCACAGGCCAACCAAAAGAGGATATTTTCTTCACTGTACTCTGATCGCAGAAACTCTCGAAACGCCTTCTGAGCCACTGCAACAAAGGCAAAAGATTATCCATTCGGTTTGGTTGTGCCCCCACCTAGCCCAAACTCCTCTCGCGTGACTTTTTACGACTACTTCCACAAACATCTGCAAAGGTGAGTTTATGACACTGACACAGCGATCGTCACCAATTTCAAAAGTCAATGCATTACCTGTACCGTCTGGCGAAGTGAAGCACTTCATGAGGGTGTCAAACGACTCTGACCACGAAAGGATGTCTTCATACGTGGTTCTGGAGTGAAATGAAAATTAAATAAGAAAAAATTTGATAACTTCAGGTGGGGAATTAATCACATGCATTTGATGTTCCAGCAACCTACTGACCTAAAAGGTCACTTCGCTTAGGGGCAAAAAAACTTCAAACTTTTCCGATATTTTTTCTATCAACCAAAAAAGACAAATAAAAACAACTTGCGCATTACCGTAGCTCCAGAAGTTGGGTCTCTGTTCGATGTGGGTCGTCCAGACTGTGCGTTGAGCGTTTGCTTGTCTCAAGAGGAGGCCTTACACGCACGCTGCAACAAGGAAAAGGTGATGCTTTTATGTCAGTGGGATGCATTAATTTCTCCCCTCATCCCTTGCCTCCCCCCTCCCCACCCCGAAGTTAAGGTGACACTGCAGTGGACATAAAATAGGGTTTTACATGCAGCTGGATCCGCCAAGGCAGTGGAAGCACTCAATCCATAGTGGGACGCTTCCAGCTGACACGCGGATAGCCATTCTGCGTGTTAGGTGGAACTCAAATATGTACAATATTTAAAGTCGTACCACACAAAACGTCGAAACACCTCCCCATAATAGACTACCTGTGATGGCAAGTCAGTTCGTATAGAGGCAATTCGCTTCTGTTGAGCTAGGGGCGAGGGCGTAGGGAGTGGACGATTGAACTTACCACGAGCAGGAGCAGCAACAGCACCAGCAGAAGCAACAAGCCCTCGTGCGCCCATCCGTATCCAATGAGAGAGTGCTATCCGTCTTCAGCATGGGGGCACCAGGGTTGTCAGTGAGGGAGATGACATTGGTGTCGGAAGAAGGGCGAACGGGTTTGTTCACGCATTCTGTAGCAGAGGAGCGTCTATTCAACTGTGAAATTGTTCCATCGCGTTGAGGGAAGACCGCCGCTCGCACGGAGTTGGTAGAGGTTAGTCGATTGCCAGCAGCTGTGGTGGAGGTAGAGGAGGATCCATTGCCCCCGGGGAGACAAGTAGTTGATGGAGGTACTTCCACACCGCTCTGTGTCTTGCCAGAGACTTGTCGCGGAAATGGCGCACCTTCAAAGGGATTGGCCGTCAATCGGGTGGACGGTGGCGGTGGTGGTGCCGTTGGTACAGGTGGTGGGGGAAAAAATCCTCCGCGGTTATTCACAATAGTGGTTGTTGTACTATCGACATTGGCAAAGAAGGAGCTGGAGTTGAAGAAGTCCTCCTCATTGTTGAGACCTTGTGGAGTTCGTTGACCCGGTTGCCATGGCAACACCCAATGACCGTTAGGCGCCATTGTAGTAGTGCAGGTAGAGGGAGGAGTAGGAGAACAGGAAGTGGGACCAATGGCAGAGGAGGAATTGACTGAGGAGTTACACATACAGTTGTTGAAGGTGAGCTCCGTGGAGAAGCAAGACGTGGGATTTTTCCTACAAAGCAGAGAGAGAAAGAGGGTATACACACGGCAGCTGCCCATGCTCATGGCGGAGGCAGTGGGTGACGGTGTTCTGATTGGCTGATCTAAATTTAGCCCGAGGAGTCGGGAGGAGAGGGGAAAGGAGAGGGGAGGAAGGGGGGAAGAAGAAGGTACTTTGCAAGCGTATAAGCTGCGGCGGAGCTTAACTGCATCAGGCCCGGCTATTTTTATACCCCCATCATTTAACCACTCATGACTCTATTCATTCAATTCTGGATACAGAATGAGAGGAACGGAGAAAGGAAGCCGAGCGATTGTGGCGCCCTCAAAAGAGTGATTGTTCTATTATAACTCATAAAAGCAATGTAATGTACCACCGTCCATAAAGAATACCGACTTTTATGGATGTAAATTACAACTCCGGACAAATATGTGCTTGCTGTCAAAGCTTACTTATTCGCATACACACAGCTTTGCTTGGAAAAGAGGGAAAAGCATGAAAACACACCAGATCGGCGCTTGTTTCTCTTTTTTTTCGTTTTGTTTTTGAGAAGCTCTATTTAGTCCACACATTTATTCACGTCCTCAGGAGGGTGGTCAGCAGGAATCCAGTTCTGTCCAAATGGATAAAAAATTTGCATTTCATTTGAGTTCCCAACA